TTAGAAGAAACTAACCACACAAATTAAATTCATCGATACCTTATATTTGTTTTGAGTTCGCAGGGGCTCCACAGTTACCTAGCACGGTCCTTTCTCCGGGTTTGGGGGCACTGGGCTTTATTACCACACCGCTCACCCCCCACATGCGGATCAAACAAGGATGTTCAGGTAGCAGTAGATCCCCTAAAGCCGCAAAGCCTCATCTCCTCAGACGCTTGTATCTACAAGACATAGTTGACATACACAAAACAAATTTTAATATCACACACGAGATCACTGCTGGAGAAAATACTCGTTCGTCATACCTGTACGAGAAAATACTCGTACCTCATACCTGTACGACGGTCCTGCTCCCACAAAGTCTGGTATTCCTGTGAAGTTGGCTCGCTTGCTCCTCACATACGGCTTGGTTGCTGCGAATTCAAAGTCAGTTATTCCTGTGACGCTGACTTATTACGTATATCTTAATTTCTGAGAACCATCTCGCCGTTTACCATGGACACAATATAGATCCTGCAAAAAACCAGCAACGTCAGTTGTTTTCAGTCTACAACACACACGCAAAAGTAAGTGAGATATTCAGTATGCAACGTACTCGCTTGCACATTTTTTCGTGGTCTCAGTGCGCTCTTCTTGCTGCCAATAGCTCTGATCTGGCATTGAAGCAGTCTTTTTCTTTTGGATAATTGTTCTTCACCTCGTCCCAGTTGTACATCGAATCTTTTATACTTCGATGTCTTTTTACATCATGTCCAAACGCCGGCGGTGTAAGCTTTACGGTCAATTTGAAAAAGTTTGATGTATTTACGGTCAGTTGCGATAATTATCCGTCTAGATGCGGAACACGCTCAACATCTTTCCACTGAGCTACAGTGCGGGAGGTGTATGAAGGTTTTGCGCGCTTTCCGAATCTCCTCGAATCCGTGTAGTTTGTTGTATGCGTCGACAGTGTAACCTTGTAAAACGCCACGAAGAATGGAGCAGATGGCTCGAAATGACGCTTGGCTGCAGCGAAGATGACGACGAAACCAAGCGTCATACTCGTCTTGAGCAAGCATCATGTCAAAGTCGATGTTGTGGGGCGTTAGAATGTTTTCCGGGGGTGCTCGTTGGGCCGTGGCAGCAGCTTGTGCAGCAGCAGCTGTGGCTGTAGATACCGCGACCAGGAGCTCACGGTGCTCCATTGACGGGTTGGTGGTGGTGGGCCAGCCAAAACCGGTGGCCTTGACAACAAAACACCTTCTTCAGGGTGTTTTGTTGCAAATCGGTAAAGAATCGTTTCCGACCAATCAGATCAATCGATAGTTGAAAAGAAAGCCACTACAAAATAAACCACTGTTGCCCGAACAGCGTCTAAATAGCTAAGTTTTAGCTAACCAGCGGCCGTTTGTCAGTCACTGGGATTGGCTTTATATTGTCGAAACACGTCCAATCAAAATCTATTGTGTCCCCTCCCCCCTTAGAGGAATAGCTAGCCAGTCCTCTACGCGCTGCACTCGCAAACCCTTGGTGACTACCTGGACGAAACTCTTTGCCTACTGCTGGTACGCGAAACTACCTCAAATGTCCTCTTTATTTAAATGAGCTAACAATGTATCTGTTATAGATGTTCCTAAGCATGGGAAAGCCACTCCCATGGGTTTTACGGCATCGGCAGGTGTCGGAGCTAGATAGCCAGCGTATTGCAGAGAACATGAAGCACGCAAAAAAAACACACACACACACAAAGTCACTGTCAGAAACACTTCTGCCTGTACCGTGTGTACAAATCCATCACCTCACACGATGCGAAACAGGGTGCTGTCATGCGCTTTGGCTGCGTGTGCCAATGCGTGTGTCGCACCGTTCGCGTGTCAGTGGAAATGTAAGATGCTTATATGCAGTAAAAGCGGCTTGGTGAATATCTACGACCTCGGATCACATGAAGCAAGAGGAAATGATCCTCCTACTGGCAGCCTGACATTGTAACAGAAGTAAATGGCGCGTCAGCTAGCTGTTAATGGCCTGAAGCCTGCCCGAATTCGAAACGCGCTGGCTGTTGACATCGCAGTGAAAAAAAACTCCACATCTTAGCAAGGTGCATAATGTTGTGACATACTGCCGGAAGACTGAATTGAACACTACTGATGGATTGGATATTCTCGAGGAAGTTATCAAAGCAAACGCCTACACTGGACTAGAAGACGACAGCTGCGCGTTTTCCTTTTCGAGCGACATGGATTCAAATGGAGACATCAAAGTGGGCGGAGGAATCAATGCCAACGCATTTTTTGTCGGCTTCACAACAAAGACACTGTTAAAACGTCTCGACCGTGATCCGCGCAGTTTTATTTTCCATTTTGACGCGAAATACAAGTTGAATCAAGTGGATTATCCCATCTTTGTCTGTGGGATTTCTGACCATGCCTGTTCCTTTTACCTGGTTGCATTGTACGTCGTATCAAAACAAGAAGAGTGCGACTACACGAGCGCTCTTGCCTCCCTCAGAGCTGTTTACGCTCGTGTTTTCCAGAAGCCGATGGAAGTGTACTACATCCTTGGAGATGCAGATGGAGCACAGATCAATGCGATGGTATTAGTGTTTGAGGATTGCGAAACGGAGGTTTTGATGTGTTTTTACCACGTTATTGCAAAAGTTCACGAGCGAACGCGCTATCTACTACCTGGCAAACGCAGCCTTGTCGTGGCCGAAATATTTGATATTCATTATGCAAGAAGTGCATCGGAGTTCCATGCTAAAAAGACGTCTGCAGTTCGCCGGTGGCTTGCGGATCCAGATGTGGAGCAGTTTGGTAAATATTTTCTCCAAAGTGGCTGACGGGCAAGTTCGTGAATTGGCAGTCATTCCGTACTCCAATTGGCTGGGCCACTACAAACAACCCAGTGGAAACGTTCAATGCCAAGCTGAAGAAAACCTACACTTTGCGGGAACGAATGCTAATGGGGTCCTTGCTTGGTCAGCTGCAAGTGTGTTGTCGAATGGAGAGTGTTTCGGGTGTAGGATTTCAAGAGAAACCTAACGCTAGTAGCAGACTTCGACGGCGAGCGACAACTTTGCGCCGACACCAGCTTCTCGTCGAGACGCCATCCATCGACGGCTCCAACGATTTCGTTCTAGTCGTTTCTAAAGCTACACCTCGAATTTACGTGAAACCAAGAAGACGTCGATGGAGATTGTGGATGTGGCAGTGCAACTTGGTGCAAATGCAGCTAGAATGGAACGTGATGAACAGCCGGAGGAAGGATGGTCAGTGTGTACATCTTCTCTTCGCCTTCTATACAAGGTTTGATACTGACCAACCTGGCAAGAGGAAGTTGTTCAACCGCAGCCGGCGCAACAAAAGAAAAACCTTAGAAGATCAGATCGCAGAGGCAGTCGAAGCAGACCAGTCGAAACGTAGACGTCCGATCCTTTACGGTCCTGCTTTAGCGTTGTTGTAGTGACATGAAATGTATGTTTGCTTGAATAAACCATCACTTCATCGCCTTATTGCCTTCTTCTTGCTCTGTTTCTTCTTATACATATAGTTTCTTTGCGAGTTGAACATACTGACAGCCGATAAGGCTAGTGATGACCTCGCGCGGGGTTTAACTCCCATTTATTACGTAGTAAGCATCAGTTGTGCTCTTCAGCCGGTTAATCTAGTACAAGGACGCTGTGAAGCCTATTGGATCTACACTCGTGTCTCCTTAGGTCGATTTTTCGCCGTTCAGCTGTTGGTTTGATAGCCACGAAGATATTGTTGCAGTAGCCGTCGATATCTACGATCTTCACCGTGGTCTTGCTGCTGACGTCCACATTGCTCCAGTATTACCATATTGTGTTCTTGCGGATGTAGTCTAAAAGACCCAGTTGATACGTGAAACGAATACGTACGTTAAGCCTTTGGAGTGATTACCTTTGAAAGTCTGACAATTAAGATCCCTTACTCTGACAGTACGAATCGCTTATTATTCCGAGAAAAAATATACAGAAAATCAAAACAAATTGCGTATTCGGTTACTCGCTGTCCTGTGCGCTCTCCGCCTCACTCTCCCACTCGCTCTCCTCTCGCTTTCTGCTTCTCCCTCCTCCCCACCCTCCTCTTCCTCGACTTCTTCTTCGCTTGCGCCCTCACTTTCGTTGTCGCTCTCAGCGTTGACCGCATCATCAACGTAGAAATCATCATCGCTCTCCTCCTCAATGTTATCACCGTGCTCGACCTCGTCATCCACGCCGTCCTCATGGTACACGTACGCTAGCTCATCAGTGTAGCTGGACTTCTCCGGTTTCTTTGGATGGCGGCGGTGGTTATGCTGGTACAGCGCGTTTCGGTTATCGAAATCCCTGTTGCACTTGTGCCCCCCCCCCCCCCCCCCCCACGCGAATCAGCTTCCAGTCGCGCCTTCTTGGTTCTTGGACTTGGCCTTGTTGGTGTTGTCAGCACAGTAACGCCAGTGGTTGGAGAGACGGCGACGCGATGTGCACTGTTGGACGCAATACTCGCACATGTAGTTTCTGAACACAGCAGCTTCGCTTGCATCGGCCTTTTGTTGAATTCCACGTACACGTACGTAACAATGCAGCCTCAAATTTTCCTTTTCAAACTCAGCCCCTGCATGGACCAAGTCACCGCGGAACAATAGAAATGCGCCCGCGTCGAGTGACAACAGTTTGCATTCGTCCACTTCTGCATACACTCCAAAGCAGCCAGGGTAGACGTAGAACTGTGTGTCGGATTGAAGAGCAATAATGACAGACGCCTAAACAATACCCTTTTCCAGTATCGCTTTGCTTTTCTCGAATGGAGGAAAATCTAGGTGGATACCTTGGCGAAGTCCCCCCGAAAGTGATTTCAATGCGTTCCAAATAGACTTTTTGGTGTACCAATTTTTATCAGATCCTTCCACAATGCCCTTCGCCCTCTTGTATATTTTGTTGGTAGCCGGACCAAATGTAGCAATAGGAGATTGAAGACGGAAAGGACCACGTTCTTCTTCATACACTTCACCAAAAATAGGTCTGAAGTCCAGTTGTTCAATTTCCTGCTTAGCTTCCTCCAAAGTGCGAGGTGGCAGTCTTAAGTTTCCGACAAGGTAGCCTTCATTCCAGAATTGCGTCTTTAGACTCGCGTCTATAATGGCTGACACCTCGTCACACTTATTGGCCAGGCATAAAAGTGAAGGAGCACACAGGTCGTGTCAAGTCGAAAAACGTGGTCGAGGCACTCGCCAGCAGAGCGGGCCAACGGTTGTCGCTTCAAGCGTTGGAGACAACGCACGTCTGAAATCAACAGTCTCTCCACGACGCACAGCAAGTAGGAGCCGACTGCGAGGCTTCTTGGGGACAATACTGACTCGTTAACGGTGTCTGTAAGGCTTAGGACGACGGAACAGACACCTCGGTGGCGTTTGTGTTGCGAAGACAAGCAAGGGCGGCTTCTGGAGGCGGCTCAGACTCTTCTGGCAGTCTCAACGAGGTGGTGGCGGAGCTCGTGCTTGGAGGAAGCGACTGCGTCGTGATTGTTGCGAGCGGGCGGGTTTGGTCGGGTTGCGGGCTGCTCAAGCGACGTATTGGGGCTTCTTTGGCAGTTCTCGAGTGAGGAAACACGGCTTACCAAGCAGTGCTTGGTACTTTAGCCTCCGAGGGCGTCATTGTTATACCGGCGATGACGTCGATCTAATGGCTTACAAGATAAGCAATACTGCACGTAGCTCTCAGCTTGCACTGCACTGGTACAATGTCGTCGATCGTTCTGAAGTCGGTGTGGATTATCCTTTTAAAAACAGGTGGATTATTCATATTTCCTCGTGCTCTGAGCCAAGTTGCACCTGTTGTAGCGCTAGTTGGTCTAATTCAAATCTACTTTTCTTAATTCAATGGCTACGTTGGCTTCTCAGGATACTTGGATATGGCCCATCATCGGCCACTATTTCGTCGAAGGTGGCGGAGCTAAGACTGCGACGGATGTCGGACGGAAGGCATGGTACTACGAGGATAGACGGCAACAATACTTCATTACAACCGCAACGAAGAAAGTCCATTGGTACAGTCAAGGAGAACAAGTTCAAGAAGGGCTAGGAGTACTGCAGTGTCACGTGCAAACTAAATTCCATCTGCAAGGACACACTTCTCCGTGATGAATTCGCCGCAGCGCCCGCGAGATGCAGCAGATTCAGATGGAAGCGTGGTATCTCGTAAACCTCCACACGCTTCAATGTCTAGAGGACGACAGTCCGCTTCCGGACTACACTGGCAAGGCCTTCTACGATCACTGCTGTTCATGCATTGCAACTACTGCCAAAACGAATCTCAACACTAGGAAGAACCCCGAGCTCTGGGAGTCGTACTCAGTGTATAAAGGAAAACGAGCACTCACAGGCCTTGAGGAGGTGCGTAACCTCGTCGGCTACTCTCAGTTGAAGGCTGAACTTCGTGAGCAAATGATTGTGAAGGCTGAAGTGATGATTCGTCAGCATTTTGCAAAGCACCTGCGGCTCTACGTGCAGATAGCATTTGGAGGGTTGGGTAGCAATCTCGACAAGAAAGTGATAAAGGAAAAAGCGCTCCTTGTGAGAGAAATTATGCGCGTGCTACAGTACGTGAGACGGATGTGGTAGAAGCCCTTCAAATACGGGACGCTCTTACCCCGTGTAGCGCCGAGTGGAGCGAGCAGTGGACACCATGGCCAAACCGCATCGGTGAAAACGGATTGACTTTCTACGTTCGATTGGTCTGGGAGTTCCAAAGTGTGGTTGAGAAGAGAATGAAAGCAGAGCCCAATGAGAAGGGAGTGCGTGCGTTCTCACTCTTTCCCGTCTCCACGACATACACGGCGTCGCACAGCAAGATTAACGGAACCACCCTTCCAGGATTCTACCTACGCATCAAGAAGCGGGAGAAGGCGTTCTACTGGCAGATTGCAGAAGTGGAGGTTTCAACGGAATCGTTTCAGCAAAACCGTTGGGTGGTGATGTGCAACGCTTTTGACATATCGAGGTTTGAAACGAGAAGTTCTCAGTGTCCTCTCCCCAAGTCCGAGTTTGCAAGCCTCCCCGTAGAAGGGAAGTATGAGCACGCTAGCCACCTCTTTGCAAACCAGGTTACCACGGATGGATACAGCGCATCTATCCTGCTCTTTCGGCCCAAGACAGAGAAAAATGGCAAGGACAGAGCGGAAAAGAGGCCTTCTGAGCACCTCGTCATCCCCGCTGGGTACGTGCCGGACATTGTCGTTGGACTGGATTCAGGGATGTGAGCCTTTGTACGGCCGTTACAGAAGATCTACGCTCTAATGTGAAAAGACACTGTCGACAACGAAAACGCAGATCCCGGCGTGGTAAGAAGGCACTTGGATCACAGCGAAAGAAGAGTGATTGCCCGCACTTGATACGTACACCTAAGGCTCCTCAGCGTCAATGCGACCGAGATATAGTTCGCATCAGTACACGTGAATATCGACACTTGGCCGGGTTCAACAAATTTCGGGAGTGGAATGAGTGTCTGAAGAAACGAGATCAAGAATATCAAAGAGTCATTGTTGACGTGCCGTCGTTCAAGACGGCAAGCTTTAAGAAGTATTTGGAGTGCCTCGACTACTTCTGGCGCCACGCGAACTTCCTACTAGAATTCTGTTCTGAACACTCGTTTCTAAAGTGGAAATTCTTCAGGAGGCGAATGGCTTGCGTTGCGGTGGATGCAATAGCCAAACGCATCATTCCAGTGGTAAGCACGAAGACATGTGTGGCGTACGGAGACTGGAGTAAGCGCAATGGTATCAAAGGTCATGCATATAGTCCGGTGAAAGTGTTGATGTAACGGGGTTACACGGGTTTACACCTGGTGTGTTCCACACATGGGTACGGAGTACCCGAATAGTTAACAAACCCTCAGTACATGACTCGTAGAGTTAAC